TAAGTATTTATATGACACCTTAATGTAATGGCTAGCATACAAAATTGAAATTGCGAAGTCAAGTTCCATATTTGCTTATAGACATGACTTTGTTGATCTTGTATTTTTTCATAAATGTGTTTTTATTGCACCAACAGTACAGATTTTCCAAAAAAATAAGAAAATTTTATATGCATATAACAAAACTAAAAGAACATTGGCAAGGTGTCAAGTTAAATTCAGAACCAGAAACGATTTGTGGGGAAAAAGAAAAGAAAAAAAAAATATGTATCACATATTTATCACATATGCATCACAAAAAAAAGAAAAAAAATATGTATCACATAGTGAAAAAAAAAACAAAAGATCTGTACTTTATATAGTAGAACTAGTATTGGCTATGTTAGTGGCTAACAGTAATTGAGCACTTCATAGATACTAGCATCACACTTGACGCCCACTGTCCTGTTCACTTAAAACATCCTTTCTCTCAGATTGATCCTAGGATTAACCATATGTTAGATTTAAGGGGCTAGGTTTCACATAAGATCTTAACTTACCAATGCTATATATTTTGTCCAGTCTTTTTACACAACTTTGGATTGTGAGCATTTTTCAAGTTACTAAACTGTACTTTAAAATCTTTATGGACACCAAGAATGGCCATCTAATCATGTATTTATTACATAAATATATGTTATATGCATCTCATCCCCAATTACTGATTACTCACCAGCACTGATAACTTTTGTTTAAACTTAGGTAAATATATAAATAAGTAACTCATACATTTTCATGTGGCAGGCCTTCAATTAATATCATGCAAAATTAGAAAAATATTTATATTATTTAAATATATTTTATTTGCCTTTTTCCCCAAAGAATACATTTTAAGATCCTTAAGCCCTCAAATAAGAATAATAAATATAATTATTCATTATCTGGCACTTTTATTGATATTGGTATGGCAATTTTCTTTCGATAGCCAGTAACAGAACAGTTTTGCAAATAATTCTGACCTCCCTAATTGCCTCCTCCACACCACGCCATACCATTTGACTGGCCAAAGGGGCCCAAATTCCTAGCACACAAACACTTCTTGAAAATCTGTACTCTCATCTCTTCCTCCCCAAAGTTCATCATCAAAGGCAGGTACAGATTTGATTCGCCTTTAAATTGATAATACATAGCTTCTTGGCTACGTATTATCACCCCTTATATTATTCTTTGGCTTTTTGATACTGAATTTGTCTACACCCCCAGAAGTTCCCTTGGATTTCAGAAATCCCTGGGGTTTTAAAAGTTACGCTAAGTGGACAGTAATAAAATGTAGAGGAGACAAAATATGGAGGTAGCAGACCTCCTGTGACTTTCAAAAATATAATAGTAGGAGATTTTCTATCCATGGTAGAGGAGGGGGTACTTAATTTTTATATAATAATGTCTGCTAGAATATTTAAAAAAGAAAAGTCTTGATCTCAAATACCAACCCTATATAAACACTTCTATTGTTTAAACCCAGAGGCAGTTAATATTTTTAATGAAGACAAAAGCACATAGAAAACAATTACATTTCTTTTAAATCACAGTTTACAGCAAACTAAATTTAAAAGTAGTTAAACAAGAAAACATCAATTAGATATCTATTCTTTCTGTTGTATAATTATATTGTTTTATAGCCCATGTTTTATAATTTTTGCCAAGCAGCTTTTAAATCCTATCATCACTTTTCCAGAAAACGTAATTGAGAAGTGTTACATGTTTTGGACTCTAAGATTTTGTTTTGACAGGTATGCCGCTGCTGAAATTAGGTCCTCTTTACAAACATGTGTTCTTAGTACACTGGATTTTTAAAACATCCTGACCTATTAGAAACAGTTGAGCTCATGGAGATCTAGTTACCAAAAAATTAATAATTGTAGTTGCTCATGTGTACTTTGTTTATAATAGCCAAATTTAAACCAAATGTAGTTTCTATGAATACCTCCTCCCTACTCTCCTCACTTTAAGCAAGACAGATAAAAAAAACCAAAAAACCAGGTTGGTTTCAACGATAAAAGAAGACAACATCACTCCACTTAATTGCATCCCTGAGAATGGAGTTTATAAAAGAAATGAGGGATCTGTGAAAGTGGTCTCCATTAAACTCTCTTTAAATGCATGCTTCTTTTGCTCAACCTTCCTCTTGTTTTCCCCTTTTTGAAATTAGGTACCACGAGGTGATAAATTTAATTAAAGAGCACTGTGTTTCAACATTTTATTTCCAAGTAACAAGAACTTTTACATCAGTTTCCTACAGAAGAAGTTGTGTTGGATATGCAATTCTGGATATAATATGCTATTTGGCTGGTGGGGACTTTTCTTCATTCTTCAGTGTCCTTATTCATGACTCTCTACTCCTTTTGCTATATGTTTTACCTCATTTAGCCTAATGATAGTAATTGCCTAATCCTATCCATTATAAAATTCTACTTCACACGTATCAGTACATCTTAAACTTCACATCCATTGTCTGGACTTTTCTGCCCATAATCCTATTAATATTTGTTATAATCCTGAGAAAAACTCTAAGCATTCCTTTAAATGTCTTAAAATCATGTAGCAGAGGTTCAGAAAGATTGTGTCTACTCCCTGCCTTACAAAGCTGGTAAACAAGTGAGGAACACCAGAATTTTTCCTATTCTATTAATATTTCCTAATGCTCCTTCCATAGGCCTGCCCTGGTAACCACACTCTCACTGATTTCTCTTGAAATTATTCTGGTATTTATACAAAGAACACATGATTTAGCATTTGAAGACTATCTTATATTGCTCTGTAATGATTTCTCCCATGCTTCATCTCTTAGATTTTAAACTCATCAATCGTAAACACCTTTTGTGCAAGTCTCTCAGCATCACACGGTGTATTAGCAGGCAAGGGTGGAGGCACAAGAACTACTTGGGGAGTGACACTCCTTTGCCTTAATGGAGTCTGCATTGCCTAAGTCAGACCTAGGCAACCCTAGATTCCTGTCTACTAGACCTTCTTGCCTCTACCTCCTACTATACTTTTTAATCACGGTTTTTGGTAGGTGTTAGTTATTGCTCTACTCTCAGATCTCCAGTCCAATTAATATCCTCATACCTTTATACCAGCTACGGTTCAGCCACCCCTCTATTGACGTTTGGCTTGTGACAGTGTGGCCAATTTGCCTACGATCACACTAACCTTAAGCAATTGGTTTTTAGGTTTGGTCCTACCTTGCAACTGAGCTGACAACACAGCTAAATTCCCTTTCAGACATGTTCTCTAGCCAGACTTTCTTCTACTTGAGCAACTTTCATGCATGATTGGTGCATTGGTGCAGCATACTTACGAGTGAGGGGGGAAAAAGGCCACATATAGCACGATCTCTGCTTACAGAAATTCCAACTTCCTTCCTACTATGGGATCCACAGCTGTCCATTATTTCCTATTTTATTCTACAGCCAGTAAACCTTTCTACTTTTCTAGCACTTTTCCTATAAAATTGAGAGGATGAGTTGTGTCAGATTCATCTTTGTAGCAGAATGTTGATTTGATTTGTGAATGAAGTGTTGACGTATTGTTGATGTTGCTTATTTGATAAAACTGTAGATATCTGTGGGGCAGATAGGCATTCTAAGAAAATGGGTTGGCAGAAGAGCTAAAAGAACTTGTTTGGAATTATCAAAGGACATCATACTTGTTTCACCTTATTAGGAGAAGGTATCTCCTTTTGCCCAGAGCAGTTCTCCACCATCCATAGGTAAAATGGCCGATGTGATGCAGCAAACAGGAAACAAATTTGAGTTGTACTGAAATGAGTTAATGGTTCTAATTCTCCACTGGTCCTTGTCGGTTACACTAGGAAGGCACACCTGTCTAGTTAAATACATGATTTGTACTGAAAGGTCTTTGTCATAATAGCCAAGAGTACTATTATGATAAAGTTGGCTAGGTTTCAGAGTGGTTGTTCACAGCTAGCTAGCACAACTCAAAAAATATGTAAAGTTGTGTAACAACTAGAGTTGCACTAAAACTCTCATTCATACCAGTTTAGAATAGACTTATATCTGAAGAAAATTATCTTCTTAAAATAGTCTCTCAGCTGAGATTATGCTTTTCCAGTCTGTAGCCCACAGGAAGTTTGTTACTAACAGCATGTCTACAGACCTCCACCTAATTCTTATGCATAATGAGTCCAATTTTCCTCTTTGCAGAGATACTGAGTGCATTTGCCATACTCTCAGTGTTGTTAACCATATAGCTTCATCTTTCACAATATGCAAGAATCATTGAAAAGGGTAAAGTCCCTGTCTGGCATCCGTGGGAACCTATCCATGTAAAGTAGGAAATTTTGATATGTCTTTTTTTGCCACGGTCATGGCGTTGCTATATACATTTTGTGACCTTAAGACATAATAATCTTAGAAGTTTTTGTTATCAAGTGATGCCAACCCTACGCATCCCAACCATATTGCTGACTCTATCCTTTTGCCAGATCTCCACCCTGTTCCTGAGCCTCCTGCAGGCTCCAGTCACAGTCCCCAGGGACATCAGAAAAGGGCGGAAGTCACTGATCCAGCCATCAATCAGAAGCACCTGGCACAGGTGTGGTTTCCTGTAGTGAGCAGGCCCGGGCCTTACCGGTACATTGCATGTTCGCGCTAGGCCGTTAGTAGTTTCATGGAAATATGTACCAATCGAGCCACTGTGTTTCCTTACCAAACTACCCCCTTGCTAGGCCACCCTGGCACACAGTAAACTCTGCAACCGTCATGGCCCAGGTGCCCTAGAGACTGACTGGCACAACTGCCACCGAGCGATCCAAGCTGTTTGCTCCATCATTCTAGAAACCACGGTGTCCCAGGGTGGGTCAAACCGGTTTCCGGCTCTCCGGGATAAGGCGCTCCGCGCTCTTCGCGGTGGAATCTTCTGGGAGCGCCAGAGAGTTGCCGGAGGCTGCGTGCGCAGGGCGGAAGTGGCCGCTGAGCCTGGCGGTCACGTGGCCCCGCCCCGTCGGGGGCGCGCGGGGGCCGGCACGAGGCGGGGCCACGTGACAGCCCCAGCTCAGCGGCCACTTCCGCCCCGCGCAGCCTCCGGCGTCGCCTCCGGGCCGTGGCTGAGGCCTGGTCCCGCAGCGCTCGCCATGTCGCATTACTGCAGGCGCAAGTACAACAGCGGCGACCTGGTGTTCGCCAAGTTAAAGGGCTACGCCCACTGGCCGGCCCGGATAGAGCAGATGGCCGAACCTAACCGGTACCAGGTGTTCTTCTTCGGGACCCACGAGACGGCCTTCCTGGGCCCCAAGTACCTCTTCCCGTACGAGGAGTGCAAGGAGAAGTTCGGCAAGCCCAACAAGAGGCGCGGCTTCAGCGAGGGCCTGTGGGAGATCGAGAACAACCCCACGGTCCAGGCGGCCCACCGCGAGTTCGCCCAGGAGAAGCGCGGCGTGGACGGGCCCAAGCGGGAGCCCAAGGCCGCCGAGGGCGACGCGGACAAGCAGGGCGACGCCGAGGGCGGCGGCGACGGGCCCGGGAAGCTGGTCGTCGAGGAGCCCGCCGAGGAGGAGCACGGCGAGGAGAAGGGGCCGCTGAAGAGGAGCGCGGGGGACCTGCTGGAGGACGCCGCCAAACGGCCCAAGGAGGCTGCGCCCGAAGAGGAGACGACGGCGGCGGCGGCGGCCAGCGAGGGCCAGAAGCCTCCCGGCCTGGAGGTGGAGCACGACGGCGCCGCGCCCGAGCCCGGCCGCGCCTGGGGGCCGCCGCAGGAGGATCAGCGAGAGGTAGACGCCGCCGCAGAGAGGGTGGCCGAGGCCCCGGGCGGCGGAGATCGCGACAGCCTGTAGTCAGCAGTGTTTCAAGAAGAGCCCCCCGCCCCGTTCCTGCTGCGGCCTGGCTGTTACTGGGGAATCTGGCCACGGCCTGCAAACTGGGACTGCCTTCCCCTCCCCCTCCCGCCCGCCGTCCCTCCTCCGCTCGTTCTCCCTGTCCAGCCCCGCCCTTGGTGCTTGACCCTGACCGGGCAGGCCACTGGCTCTCACCTCTGTGCCCCCACGCCCCTGTGATCTGGGTCAGGGCCTCTGCTCCTCGGGATGAAAAGAGGCCACCGTGCCCCTCCCTGCCTGGAACTGTTTCCCTGGGCTTCTGTTGGGGCCTAGAAAGGCTGTTTTCACCTCCTGGCACTCCTCCTTCCCTCCCTCAGGCATTCTGGACCTCCCGTGGGAATTGGGTAGGAGTGGATGGATGGAGGATAAAGCGCAGGGGGGCACTTCCAGGGCCTGGGAGGGGCAATCTTCAAACGGGGGCGGCGGGGGTGGGGGCGCGGGGAGGAAGGTGACATCTTTCCGAGCTCCTGTCTCCTCCTCCCGTGACTATTATACCAGCTTCATACGTTCAGGGAAAGTGGGACAGCTTGTGGGGAAGGGCCTCCCTTCCATAAAGCCTTTGGCCGATCCAGGGAGTTCTGGGAGTAGTCGTTTTTTCATCAGAACATTGGGGCTTCCAAGTTGTTTGTGAGATCTGAGGCCTTGACGTTGCCCAGAATGCTGGGTGGAGATGGTGAGAAATATCCGTGCCTATTTAGATCTCTGGGGCCACTGATGGGATGCCCTAGGGAGATCCCTGGCTGCCCCTTCGCCTCTCCCCACAGCCTCAAGGCCAGTCTACCATCATATACATCACTCAGACATGGAAAAAGAGACATGTATTTTAGAAAATCCTTTTAATAAAAAGAAATTCCAAAGAAAATTAAGAACTACCCCTGGGTGTGCCTCTACACTGCCCCTAGCTCTCCCATTGCTATCCCCATTTCTGAGATGATCTGGAAGGCTTCTTTTCTGTTTGGGGTCTGATGACTTTGTAGTTAGGGCTTTGGTGTTCCTTGCAGTGTCATTTTCCATCTGCGAATTCCCACCCGGTCCCAGAAATGTTATCACTAGATTCCGTATGTAAACTACTGAGAGGACAGAGGAACATGTATACCCTCCTACCCTCTTCCCATTGGTCCCTATGCCTTCCTCCATCTTGTCTCTCACCCCCACCCCCTCCCTTGGGCTCTGATGAAAATTTGTTGGCTGTAGCTTCAGAAGTTTAGATCTGAGAACCATTGAATATTTCAGTTCTAGGAAATAAAACACATTAATTACTTTAAAACAAATTTCAGTCCTGTTCCTTTGGTTTCTGAAGAATTGGTTCTTATATATAATGCTCCTCTTGTTTTCTATACATTCTATGTTACAAGCAATTATTTGTGAGATATAAGGATAATTTAGAATCACCAGGAGAAACCTTTGTTACCTTAAGGTCTCTACCCTTCACTCCATCTGTGATTGTCACTACCACTGATTGGTATGAATGGAAACAAGTTAACTTAAAATGTTTGGATGATGACAAACTGGGCCAATAACTGAGTTTCTAATACTCTATGTGCTTTGCCAAACTGATTTGGAGAAGAATAAAGGTGAGAGGATTGGTCTGGTTTTGGTTTTGGGTTTTTTTGTTTTTTGTTTACTGCTCTTGCAGATATCACTACTCTATTTCCTCCAATACCTTTTTATGATAATCAGAGTTGCTTTATACATGCAATTTTAAAAATATGTAGTACCTGTAGAATACTTAGTATGTTTTTAGTGGCTTTATGGAAATATCTTAAGATATTTAAATATACTTATAACCATATTTTGAGGGCCCTAATTTCTGAATTTATCAACACTGCATGAATACAAAGACTTCAGTAAATACTGGAGTTCTTCTCATAGAACATGCTGGGGCATCGCCAGCCAAGCAGGGTTGGCAACTGAAGACAACACTGCTTTCCATCCTAGTAAAACATAGTATTATTTTACTCCAACGTATATAAGTCAAAAGATTTCTTGTTTTTCAACTACTACAATTGCAATAATATTGATACTAGAAGTTATTATTCATTGAATGTGCCCTGAAGAATGGCTTCATTCAGTCTTTGTAATAATCTGGCAAGGTAGGCATTAGAACACAAATTTTCCATTAGAAACAGCTCGGTTCAGAGAAGTTAAGTGGCTTTTCCTGCATTCTACAGAACACTCAGGATTCAAACATAGGTTTTAGTAGTTTATAGTCAACTAAACTCTTTTTCCTGAATTGTACATTCAAAAAAGCACTAACAATGCAATCAGCAGTTAATAAAATAGCTATTTTAGTGTTAGTAACAATCATGACAATAGCTAACATTGAGTCTCTGAAGCAAGCCAGACAGCATATTGTGTTTTACACATAATGTCTTTATTAGTACAACTACCCGATTAGGTAGCTACTATTAATATTATCTCTATTTTAGAGCTGAGGGAGCTAAAGTTCAGAAATGTTAAGTGATTTTCCCAAGGTCATACAACTAGTATAGGACAAAGCCACAATTCAAAGGCAGGTCTTTCTCATTCTAAAGCATAGGTGCTTTGTTTCTTTATATTTCATTGATTCCCATTGAATGAAACTTCATGTTGAATAAAATGGCAGTACTTACTCTCTATTATTCTGAAGTGAACATTTAGAAATTTGTAAGGCAAAGAATATATTAACAAACATTGCTAGTGGCTGTGTGAAAAAATCATTTAGGGCACCTGACAATTGTTTTGTCTTTAAATGACTTGGTGAAATGATGGGGACAATTGCACATTCAATATTTTTCAAGATGTATGTGACTATAGGAAGTTTAAATATGGATCGGTATATTTGCCATAGGCGGGCATATGATTTTGATAAGGTTTTCATGGAGGCCCATCTTCTGAATTGATTGAATAACCTCAAAGATAGAAAATGAAATTACTACTGTTTGAGTCTCTCTCTTTGTGTTATTTCTTTCCTCCTTTTGTGTTTCTCATGTTGGGGTTAGAAATGGTTGTTTATTAGGAAGCAGCACACACATTTGCCTTCTTGGTGACTATAGTGTTGTAGTGAAAATGGTAATCCAACTAATAGCACATCTAAAAGGATGATACACTGAGTTACATAATACAATTAAAACCCAATAAAGAAAGAGAAACATGGAAGAAAAATCTGTATTCTCAGTCTTCTCTTCCTGGGCAGCAGACCCCATTTCTATGCTTTGGTGGCCAAGAGATGTTTTTGTGTGGACTAAAAAAAGACGCTGTCTTTAAAAAATTTCTTCAGTTGAAAATTCCAAAGAATTCCAGGGCTGTTTTTTGTTTTCCTCTGAATAACATGTGCCTCAGTGACAAAATTACAGATCAATGATTAGTTACCTTACTGAACAAAGAGTTGTGCTGGACCGTTTGCTGATGCTATGTTATTAGTAGTCCAAACATGTTCATGAGTGCTTTGAAGATCTTATTTAAATGTCCCATGTAAATGCATGCTTATCATATTGTAAGTGATTTGTAGACACAGTGTACTATTTTCTGTAAGGCTTTCAAAGTATTTGGTATTTCACGCAAACATCCTTTTGGCAAGGGACTAAAAGGCTATTGAGGGTTGTAAATTTTGTTGCTTTCTTTTAGTCAGGCTTTAGCTTTCCCCTGCTCTGCAAATTCTCGTCAGATGTATAGATTGTTTGTGGCTCATACCTCCATTTTACTTTTCCAGAAACTATGGTAGATATTCAGGACATAACAGGGCATCTTCTATTCATTTCATCATCAACACTCATTTCATTGTCAACAAAGCTTCTACTACACATAGTATAGACTCATGCAACATCCTCCCTGTACTTTGAAAGAACTGCCTCCCTCTTCTGGGCCTGGTCAACCACTCAAGATATGACCTCCTCTTCCCCCCTCCTTGTGTTATTGTACTACCCTATAATCACACTGATCACATCTGAATTTCCTGTATATTGTTTGCTCTTGCAATAGACCGGAGGAGAAAGAAAATATATTTCATTAATATTTTACCTCCACTCCCAAAACATGATACGATAAGCACTTAATAGATATTTTCCAAATGTTTGAAGATCTTGGTGTCAAATACTCCTTTTAACTGTGGTGCTGGCATAAAAGTCGTAAGGTGATGTTGAACACATTCTAACTCTGAATGTAGAGAGGCAGGATAACCTGCCCTGTAGACCAATGGCAAGTATGGGTTGGGATGACTTTGTGTCCATGTAATTAGCTGCCTATATTAGGTGACTTGAAGACATTGACAGTTCTCAGACCCAGAGTGTAGATCTTCCCATTGTTTGAGTAACTTGTCTCAGTTAAACCGCATATGGGCACCGTTTCCACGATTCGTGGATTCCCAGATAGGCAAGGGAGCATTCTGGCTGTTTCCTTTTTCACACGGGAGCCATGTATTGACCACTAGGCTGAAAATTTACAATAATAAAAGGTGAGTATGCCAAGGACAACTTGTATTCTGCTATTCCCTCAGCCTCTTGTGGTATAGACACCTCACTGTCATAGACACCTCTCAGAGTTTAATGTGTTTAAAGGAATAGTATCTACTCACCACCCAATGTGGTTGGCCCCAGTCTCACAAACCAGCTATCTGTGTTGGATGTGAAAAGTTCTTTCTCACTGCTGATGGAAAAACTGACCATATTAGACCTTGAGATCTTTAAAATAGAGGCATCCTAAGTGATTTTCTAGAGTAATTCTGACAGCAGGAGATTTTTTTTCTGTGCAGTCTGATTTTACATTAAACTTCAGCTTCACTGAAATGGTCTTGAGAATGCCAGAGGATACATAGAAAAGATCACAGCAAAAGGCCCCGAATGGCCACAGGTAGGTTGGGCCATATGTGGACTGATGGCAGTCCTAGTCATAGGATGGCCAGGTATGGGGCATGGGGACCAGCAAAAAACAAATTGCACCTACTTCCCTGGCAAGTACCCAAGGACTATGGGTCATTTGGTAAGTGCTTTTCTCTCTTGTTTTTATGCTTTTAAGAAGAGCTCTTCCTTTGGCTCAGAAAGCTTATAGCTCTATTCTTTTCTTCCTCCTGAGCAAGCTTTCTATGAATTACTATGTCAGAATTAGATATCCCTCCAATGTGTTCCCATAAGATCCTGGTTTTCCCTTAATAGTGTCTACTCCACTTTCTTATAATTATCCCTTTGTTGATTTTTATCAAGCAATAGTTAGTGCATTCTATATGGACAGGGATGATGATCATTTTGCTATTCAAACAAAGTGCCCTTTTCATATTAAGTACTCAATAAATGGTTGTTAATAAAGAAATGAATGGATGCATGACTAAATCTTTTTGCTCACTCACCCTTACCTCAGCTATAAGAGGAGGGTTTGGGGAATTTTTTGGGGCCTCATAGAACATGGTAAGGGAGTAAAAGGTTTTTGGTTTTTTTTTAATGAGTGTGTACCATTGATTAAACAAGATTATTTCATTCGTATAATATGTGTGTTGGCTTCACAAAATAACAGGCCTTAGCAAGACTGAAGCCCAAGGAGGATAAATCAAATTATATATGGTTGCCCTGTGGACCTGAGTGTGAATAAGCATATGAAACACAACATTCATCTACTTACGTGATTTTTCTCTTTAATAATTTGATTTTTCATTATCAATTTCCTTTAATGTAGGAAGCAGCTGGGTGGTATCTGGCTTTGAAGCCAACCAAAACTTAGATTTAAATCCTGGCTCTACCATCGAAGAGTTGTGTGATCTCAGTTTCCCTCAACTAAAAGCTGTGATAATGGCTTTCATATGACAGGTTTGTTGTGAGAGGCAAATGTGCTTATACATGTTAAAATGTCAAGCACCATACTCAGCACAAAATAGGCCTTGTATACATGTTAATTCATTTCCCTTCAATATAATCCAGAAAACTAACCATCCCTTTTGAAATAAAACAGCCCAACTTATCACGTTTATTTAGGAAAACACTGGAGGCCTTTGCCAGATGCAAGCAGCTCCCTTGTCGCAATACACAAATCACAAATATATGATCCGTATCACAAGGAGGGATATATTTAGTGTGCCCATACACAGACAGAAGCTGAAATTGTACTCTCCCAATTCCTCATATTGCTGTCCAATATCTTCCTTAAATTCCACACTGGTAGCTGAATTACTTTATACACACATCTCCAATTTTAAATATTCCTCTTTTGTTTGGCATGATTCATCCCTCCTGTGGCCAGTTTTATGGCTCCTGTTATTTCCCAAGGATCCACTCACTGTTTTCCAGTGTATATTTCTTAAATGCATCTCCTCGAGTACTTTGTATTTCTGATATTTTTTCAAACTGTAGAAATAGCGATTGTATTGCTCTAGTTATTTCTTGGTTCCTTTGTCTTTTTTGTTCCAATGTACCTATCTTTTCACACATAATTTTAATGAGCTGCCCAACTCGATTACTAAAAGGCACTGGAGTGTTACAAGGGATTGGCCATTCTTTCCAGAAGCTCTCTCAGGTTTCATGTCCTCCTATGATTTACCAAGTGTCACTTAATTTTTCTTTTCTTTTTTTTTTTTCACACCCCAGCCAACTCTTCATCACAGTCATTATCCATCTCTCTTGGTG